CCCTCTCAATATTGCAAATGTGAGTTTATCTTACTCAGGAGCGTCAAAACAAATACGCGCTGTAAGGAACTAAAGCAACAGGGAAAATGGGCTCCTTTTTGCTCATGAATTTCAAATAATCTTACAAAACAGATCTATACACGTGCTTAGCTGCCAGCTGATGCATTTGGAAGCCAAAATGGAAGCGCTGATGAAACGGGGAGACTTCCTCAGTGGCGGCATTCTCCACTTGATGCTGCAGGACTCAGCTTTTTTGTAGCCTTGGAAGACAACATTCTAACACTTCTACAGCTAGTCTCAGAGGCCACCAAGTTAGAACTAGGAGTTCCTTGCTCTTGCCTCATGAGGTGGCATTAGAAAGCCCCCAAGTTGTAGTGCTAAGCTGGAGAGAGGCCATTAGTTAAAGTTGGCCATACGCACTCGGTGAAGCTAACCCCTGCTTGAAAATAACGCAAACCCTGCTTTAGATCAGCTCGCTCCCTTTTCAGATTTACCTATGGTTTAAAAGCAAGATACTAACTACTGCGAGCTGAATGGAAGAATGATTAGCTCTTGTAGCCTTGACGCGTATCTCATCTCAGTGTCTGGATAATGAAATTCACTAACTGCATCCCTCCACGCTGCATGTCGCTAGCGGACCTCTTGTCATATTCCAGTGCTACACAGCGGAACCACACAACATTACTGAAGGAACATAACCTCCCCAAGAGTTTTCCTTATCCTGTGATTAAATGGAATTGACAGGGCGTGTCCCGCTCACGCAGATGTTCTACCAAACTACTTTCTAAAAAGAGTTAAATTAGTAATTCTAGAATTACAATGAGTAATTCTAGCTAAAGACCTCATACAGCTAAAATATCAGAGATACCTTCTACCATCGAAGTATTATTGTCACAAAAGCCAACAGAACTTAGCCCATACTCCCTGGAGAGCCCCGTTTTCCAAGTCAGTTCCTAAAAATTTTTCTGATTATGAGTTTTTATAAATTCATGTCCAATGCTATTTTGAGTATTTAACAGCTATACAGTGCAATACTTGAAGAAATAGCTTGATAAAAGCAAACATTATGTTGCTGAAAGCAAAGCCAAGCAAGTTGGTTAGCTTTTTGATCTCCATGACTTGAAAGTCAACTTAAGAAATGCGGTATGAATTTGTTAAAATCTAGAAACACCACATTTGGTGGCCAGCAGCTCTAGATTGTAGTTCACTGATTTACATTTCTTGGCTTAGATACATTTTCTTAATCAGTGCTGGAGAATCTTTAATTTCCTAGATTGAAAATAAAACTCAAAAGTTAAGAGTTGCCACCTCTCACCAAGGCCAACAGAGTGCTGGGGACAGGGGGAAGAACCCAAACAAACAAAAAACAAACATCAAAACCACATATTTAGCACAATAGAAGTCAAATATAGGGAAACAAAAATTGTCCACATTATTTAAAAATGGAAAAGGTAGTTTCCCAAGTTACTTTGAGATCAGTATCACATGAGTATGATAGATAATAAGGTAACAGAAAGAAAACATACAGAAAGGGAAGTTTGGAGTAGAAAGGTTAATATTTATATAAAAAAACAAAACCATGCAAAGTGTAAATTGGAGGAAGAGAAAATAAATATTTAGTAAAAAAAGTAAAAAATACATAAACCTTTGAACAGCCATTTTGAATCACGTTATGGCAGTGCCTGAAAAATTGTTTTATTATGGAATCTATTAGAAAGTGTATTTTGTGGTAAGAGGAAAGGCAGAAGACTAATGGGACCCACTTGAATGTAAAATATCTTGGGAGAAAAGGCAGGACAGATCCCAGCCAAAAGACAAAAAAAAAAAGTTTAACCTCTCAGAAGGACCCTGACGATACTGCCATTACCACTTTACCAATTATAATCAGGCCATTTCAGAAGAATAATATTAATGGAAAGAAAGCCCTCTTTAACCTGCCATGGTGTGATGGAGCAGGGAGAGAGCTCTCCAACCTCACAAAAATCGCAAAGATTTCAGAAGTGATAAATCGCAAGGAGACCGCCGCCATTTCCCGGTTTTTCTTCCTGGCAATCCCCAGGCGGTACTGCAGGCTCTGCTGCGTCCACCCTTCCATTTGTCTTCTGGCCGAAGCACGAAGGGAAAGGCACTGCAGAGCATCTGTCCCATTTGTACTACTACATTCTGGTATCGCACTACACAACAGCTTTGTGTAAATAGAGCTTTGGGGCTCTCTTTCTCTTCCTTCCTTCTTCAGTTAACCCCAAACAATTACTGTAATTTTCCTGCCACCAGAAATTGTTAAGACTCTCTCTTTAAAACTTGACTCTTACCTTCAAAGAACTGCTGCAAGGCCTCATTTTCTCCCACCACATCCATGAAAAGCCAGTAGAAGTGTTTTGCTTTCCTACTGCTTGAAGAATCCCACTGAGAAAAACACACCGTCTCCCTTCCAGATGATTATGAACATGCCGAGGAACACATCATGTTTGCGTCGGAGGTTTCAGTGACTTTGTCCCAGCTGATTTCATCCCTCTTCAACTAGGGAAGGGGCTATGCTTAAACTCTGCTACACGTACAGGAGAATCTGACAAGGCTTTTGAGGCAAGATGGTGATGTGCGTTCTTCCGTTCAGTGTGGCTAATGTTCTTGTTGTAAGGACCTTTGGTCCCAGTACTAACCATAATTACACATGCGCAAGAAATGCAGCAATAAAAAATACTTATCTTGTCTCTGTACTTTCACACAGGTGATGTAATTAATACTACTGATGAAAGCAAAAGTAATCAAAAATGCAAGAGCAAAGCCATCACCAGTTTCACCGTCTGCACTATCCCATTTAAGCAGCTGAGCGTCAAACTGTCCAATTGCTCTAAAAAAAATCCTCACAGCAGAGACCATCCATCCACATTACTATTAGTAACAAAACTAAACTGCAGATTTAGTCTAAGGTAACATTGAAAAAACATCCGGGAAAGCTGAACATTGAAGGTCTTTCAAGGCTAGTAGCAAAGCCTATTTCACTTCCTTTAAATTGATTTTTATACACTGAAAGTTGCCCGTTCTGTCACCCCTAAGCAAAGAGCAGAAAAATATTCAGACATTTTGAGTAGGCAACTGTAAGAGGCATTTGCTTGTGAATGTAAGCTTCAGTGAAGTTAAGAAGTCTCGAATAAGGCCATTTTCTGAAGTAGTTCTATTCACCAGACAAGTAACTCTTGCACAATTTTTATAAGCCCCAGAGGCTCACAGTGATGCAGGTTTCTCAGGAGAGGTAGCTTATACTAAAAATACAGAAAAGCCTTTTGGGGGAGGGACTTGAAGAAGCAAGCCCATCAGTATTTACAAGACATTGACATAATTGAGCCAAACCGTCATCACCACGGAGATACACTGGGTACATCTTCGTAGTCCCCAGTACAAGGAAAATCACCTCAGCATAATAAACTTTAGATCCCACTGATGGCTTGACACTGGCATGCGTAGAAAGGACCCTTCTCTCTGCTTGAATGAGCAACACTTGTGAGGATTATTAAGTCAGAATAGCAGCAGCTACCATTTAACTATGGTTAGCTAATCCTGGAAACAGCTTGATTTCATTGTGTAAACTAAGGATTAACAATCATTTAGGAAACATTTATGAGCCTAAGATAAAACATAGTACCAACAAACACAGTTTGTTTTCTACCACTGAGTAAATCCATATTTCCTTAGTATTATGGAAATAATAAACAACCTTTTAACAAGTGATGGTTAGAATTCTTCCAGGTTTTTACAGGAGGAACTAGTAATATGAGATTGATAAAAATATGTCATCAGTACTGAAATAGGCCAGGCTGGACGTCATTACTAGTAAAATACTTAGGTTCAGTTGTTTGTTTTAATCTTAACATTGAAATGTCTCATCAAAGACAAGCTTGCAAAGTGTTTTCAGGCATATATACATGAAACGCAACACAAGTACAGTACTAAATTTCACTGCTCAATCTATTTACTTTTGTAAAAACAAAGAACACTCCCATCACAGTGATGAATAGCATTATTTTTGTTCTGCGTCAAACAAAAGAAATCTGTATCCACTGAGATGCCTCTTGTTCAAGAACCAACTATATCAACTTGCCTTTACTTCTAATATTTGTCAGTTCACCTGCCAATGCTTTGATCTTATCTGTAATGGATAAAAGGCTGTCACAGGACCAAGACCTAGTGTTTCTCCAAAAGGGCTTTTACATAGCAAGTCTACCACATACCCACAACTATTACATCCCTGTAACCTAATCAACTGTCTGCTTTCAGCTTAGACTATGCTCAGGGAAAAAGGACCACTTGAAGTGCATAAGTAGCACTTGAACAGGAAAAAGCATCTTCCTTTAGAAGCCATGATCCATTTTTGGGGTTCTCTTTGTAGCAAATTGTGTGTGTGAAGAAACTGCTAACATGATATGGAAATTATTATCAGCATGTTAAAGAAATCACGTAATGGCTATATTCCAGTTTCAAGGACAGCTGTGGGAAAGAGATGTATAAAACATTGGAAACTGGAAATCCCCAAAAAGCAGGGGGGGGAAGAACATTTAAAAAGAATGGAAAAACTCTAATGAAAGAAAATTAGAGGGGAGGAAAAAGTTTTTAGCAGTCAGATAGGGGTCAGGAGAGATTTCTAACCAAACAGTAAACAAGGTATGTTCCTTGATGTTTGAAAAGCACCCTACTTTAGAGAGAAGAGACCTAGATTTATTACACTGTTGACTCTTCACTATGTATGTTTCTCTTCTTACATTGTTTAGAAAAGAAAAATACAGGAAAGCAACATTTCAAAGAATTTCAGGTTTTCCTAATTGTCTGTTAACTATGTTGGCATACATGCCTAGAGAGATACATACATGTACCTAAGCACTACAATTAAGAAAGTGTCAGGCATTTATTCCCTTCGTCATAACATCATCTCAGCTTTACATTTTGGCATGACTTATCAGGGAGGTTCACATCATTCTGCATCACAAAGAACAGAATACAGACACTGCTTCAGACTAACACTTTAATCAGAATTTTTGTTTTTAAATCTAAATTACAATCACTAATACACCTGCAAGTGCCTACCACATTTGTTCAACTAAGTATTATATGTATGCATATACAGCATAGGTCAGTTTAAAACAATCACAGTACTTCTTAGTGCAATCTGCAAAAGGAGAAAGATCTTGGACCCACTTTGTGGAAATAAATATTAAGTGACAAAAAAATTCAGCAATTTTAGTTATGTATATTCAATGAAGTTCATGCATGCGCAAAAGATTTAGAGCTCTTCTTTGTAATAGCCAAGTTTTGCTAGTGACATCTCTCTCCTCAGCTGCATAACTTCCCAGAACATCTGATCCACTAAAAAAAAAAAGACAGAAATATCATTGAAATAAAATATTAATTCAGAATGTTTAACTGATGTATACAGGCTGCCCCACTGTACATCAGTTTACGGGAACTTTAGGAGTAACAAACATTTAGTAAAACCAGAATTAGTATGTGCGAGGGCTATTTGTGCTTGGTTGTGACAAAATTTGTTAAAGTATTTATTTTAAAAATTCTAAATGATGGTCCTATAAAAAATTCCCCAAATTTTAAGATTATTTCTATTTAAATTGGGGAACAAAAATACATCAGTAGTTCTTGTCAGGTTCAATTAATTGCTGTTTCTCATTTTAATTGCCTTGCCCCTTGACTCATTTTCTGTAAAATAAAAGAGTGCAAGAAGAAAAAAGTAGAACCTGTTCCATCACAGAATCTGTAATTTTGTTATAATTTTTTCCATTTGTAATCTTTCTTACTCCCTCTTTTTTCTACCAGTAATCTGCCAGCAACAATAAACTGGGAAGGAAAAACACTTTTTTTTTAATTTCATCTGTATTTTGCTAAACTTGATAAGCCTAATGCATACCTTAAGCTTCTAGGTGCCACAGCAATACAAATCAAAATTACTGAGCATATAATTATGTAAGACAAAAATAATTTGCATGCAGTCAAGATCAAGATGTAGAATGACTACAAAGATCATTAACCTGAGCAACAAGTACAAAGTCTTCCCTACCATAATTCAAAAATCGCTTTTGTAAAAGTGACCTTTGTCTCAAAAATCACGTGACGCATGAGCAGAAATACATGCAACAAATTATGCAGAATTATCATGACTGCCTACATTCTTCTAAAGGTTTTGTTGAATATTTACATAAAGCTACAAATGCAAATTCCATGCTTTTAACGGTAAAGATGACAACTGAGCTGAAACACCAAGCTCAAGTTTCTTCTCATAATGCTGAAAATTTTATTTGATGAAAAAAATACCAACTTAATTTCTTTATCTCAATAGCAAGGTAAACGTTTTAGTTGAAACTGTATAGGCCCTTTTGATCAAATAAAAGCTGTTTAACTATAAACCAAATGAAAACTTAAATAACATTTTCACAATCTTCTGCAATGGTAGTACATCAGTAAAAATCACCACCATCTGAAGGTTTTATTAAACATAATTTAGTGTATGAAATAGGTGAATGCCATGAAAATACTTCCCTTTGACAAGAAAAGCTAACAGCATTATTTTTGTAAGGAATACTATTTATCATCTCAGGAATACTTCAGGTTAGAAATAGAAACAAAAGATTTGGGTGTAACTAAAATACTGAGCTCTTGAAATTGGGAAACATCAGAAGAGATGACTATAGGTGAGGCAGATCAAAGTGGAGCTAATTCTAGCCAAATTCTGGATGAAGCCAATCCACACAGAATCAAAGACTGGAAGAATAAAAGGAACAGACATCCATAAACATTACAACGCTGTTTCACTCTACTTTCAACAAAGTGAAACCGATTTTTTAAATTAATTATTGACACAGGCCTAATGAAACTTCTCTGCAATCTGTGCTTAGCAAATCCAGGAGCCTAGGTGATATGGTCTGTTTCCAAAAAAAAAACCAACCCACAAAAAAACACCCTTGGACCAAAGGCTGTTGGGCAATATTCTTTGATCTGGACAGGAAATACAATCACATCAATTGTGTACAGTTTAAACACAACCAAATCATCATAACTTTCTTTCATAGTGATAAACAGGTTAAACAGTCTTGCAAATGAAGACCAATCACTACAACTCCAATATACAATATATTTTTAAATTCCAGACTAGGTATATAGTGCATACATTTCATAACTGTCTTCTTTTATATGGACATACTGAAACCGAATAGCACAGTTAAGCAAATTTTCGAATTACTGTGCAGACAGAGTTTAAATAGGCAGTTGTTGGATATGCTATTCTGACAGGAACAGAGCAACTGGGTATCTCTGGTGGGAGGAAAAAAAAAAATCAGCCTGAAGCAATGGCAGTAAAAAACACATTTCCCACTTGGGGTGGGGAGTAATCAAGCCTTACATTGTCAGATACATTTATAACCAGAGCCTTGATCAAGAGACCTTGCCATGCCACAGTAATGACCGACACCTCACTTAGCTGCACTCAGATGAATGATTACAGGATGGTTTCCTGTTTATTTTTTACAATTTAATCCAAAATATTGTCATCCTTCCCAGTTCTCCCTGCAAGATAGTCTAACAAGAAAGACTGTCTGCATTCTCAAAGCATACAATGAGAAGACACACCAAAACACCAAGTGAAAAAGAAAAAATGGCCCAGATCAAATCAAACTGAAGGGTTTTTGGTCTAAAATACCTTCATATTCTGTGAAAGAGCCATTATTTTTTAATACTGTGTGGAAAAACTGTGACTAACACCTCCCATTACAGAATTTTTCATAACATTTCTTACTGAATAACATAAGGAGTCTTTAGATGGACTAAAAATCACTGCTTTTTAATTTGTTGTTGTTAAAAAAACCCCAACTTTGTTGGAGGGTGAGCTATCACCAAATTCTCCTAATTACAACAATGAGTACCAACAGATAGCTCTCCTGTAATATCAGGTCACTGCTGTTGTGCACAGATAGCAAGTTTTAGGCACATGCACTATGCAAATTTCTATTTATATATGCCAAATACCATTTCCTACTCACCATCTTGCTGCTTCAACAGTCCTTGCTGGATGTATCGAATATATGTAAAGAAGTTACACACAGAAGTGATCTGAACCCATGTAAAAATAATGGTGGTTAATATCATTTCGTATAACAGCATGGAAAAATAACTAAATAACTACTACTCAAAGTGACATCATAGTAAATCTACTTACTCTGTAACGACAGAAAGGAGAAATGTAGTAATAATTGCTTGAATCTCCTAATTTGATTCTATGCTTGCATGACTTGCTTTGTCCACTGAGAGCACATTTCCTACAAAATATAAAGTTTCCACGATTTAATAAACAAATCTAACATTAATGTCTAAACACCTGCATATGTTTAAGGTGTTGATATAATTGCTTCATATTGGCACAGATACCCCAAGTGTCTGCTTTCGTTTTACAAGCTGCAATTATTATATTATGTTGTCAACTACTTTAGTTCCACAAGGACTATTTTTGCTTCAATACCAGTGCACCGTGATGCATTTCTGATTTTTAAAACTTCCTTCAGCTCTGGTCATGTACTTCCACATTCATTAATTCAAGTCAGCTTGACAACTCTGGAACAGTAGGAGTTCTTTAATTAACCCTCTATATGTGAAATAAACGTTTAAATTATCAGTTGATGCCAACATTTAAACAATTTTTTTAAAATTCTGCTTGATGTTGCATTTCACCATAAAAAATATCAGCTCTACAGAATACCAGTCAATTCTCTGAACCTCTCTCAGATGCATTCTAATACCAGCTTTGCATTTATGCCCAAATGGAAATAATATTTTATATTCAGAGTACAAAATAATTTGAGACAAAGGAAAACAGGCTGTCTGGCAGTAATTCTTTCCATTGCCATTATAAAGAGTGGCAGTAAAACAATAAAGTTTACTCCTTCTGGTGTATTGCAAGTATGTCGTATTCAGGAAGGAGGAAAAGTCAGTAGCCAGTAGTCACCATGCATTCTTCCCCCAAAAAAAAAACAATTCAGGAAAAGGCAAAGAATTCTTAAAAATTCCCTCCAACATTATCTAGGAAAAGATGGTTTGAATCTCTTAAAGAAGCTGCTATGAATACAATCTTAATAAATGTAAATAAAACTGGAATTTAATTTATTTGGAATTTCTATATCACCGCATCTCAGATTAACTGGGTTGTCATGGCATTCACTGTTTCATTGATTTTAAAAGCTTCTGGCTCGTCTCCCTTCCATTTCTACCTCACAAAATTAGGCAGTCTAAGAACAAGCAGCCTTTGAAAAGTGAAACAAAAATTACTAAGCTTCTGAGGTTCTTAACAGTGGCTCAGAGGCCTTTTAAATAGCCTGCAGCTGGTCCACAGAACCATGTAAGACAGGAGAAAATTGAAGAGTATATATGATTTTCCATAGCAATTTATGAGGACTGACAGCAGTCCATTGATCCAAGAAATCCTATAGTAGCTGGAGCAAGCTGATTGCAATTTCAGTCAAGCTTTTGTGAGAAGACAGACAGCCTTTCAGTGCTAGGAAAATAAAGCCCTTTTTTCCTTCTGGCTGTAGAATTACCTTCTATATGTTATCTTCCATCACACCAGGTTAAATGCTGGCATGACAGTTACTACTACTGACTCAGTTCTGCACTGTACAGCACACATAGCACTTTGTTCCCCATGGGGATGATTATTCAAATCCTGCAGGGAAACCCAGCTGTCTTACATTAAGGTAGCACTTACTACACACCATCACAGGCACCATTCAATAATTCCTGTATATCAAGAACCTTTCTTCACTATTATCACTGCTTAAGAAGCCTTCTGCTCCTTAATTTGCTGTTGGGCTATTACCCACTATTTTATGCATCTGTTCCCCCATCCCCCAGGTAATTGTGCAATAAAATAATTCCTTTAAAAACATTGCTCTAGTGTTTGTTATTATTTATTTACAGTTTGTCTGTATTTTGTTACCTATTTAAGAACATGGTTTCAATAAAAATAGCACTTTGCAACTTATAAAAGATGTGAAACTGCTACTCTGATTCAGTGAAAACTGGAACACCTGTTTCCCATTCAGTGCCAGTAATTATACATAAGGCAAAGAATATTTGCTGTCAAATTACACCTAAATACTGCATATTCCTTACCTATTACTTATCTACAAGCAATACCACAAAAGTTTTTGTCACTACATGACAGCAGGAAAAGGGAGAAAGGAGTACGCCTGGCCTTTTGATACATCTAATGTAACTAAATTACAATTTGTGCATAGGCATCTCAAAACATTAATCTATACCTAGCCAACTATTTAAGGATTATGTAAATTCTAATTAAAAATTTATCTTACACTGGAGAAAATAGGTTAAAATCTCATGAAACTTCTGAATGATGCAATTGAGTTTCCTTTTTCTGAGTAAATATTTCATATGTCAAGAGATAGGGCAGTTGCTTGAACCACAATGATTTTAACTCAATTTGCCAATTGCTCTTTAATGACACATGACTTGTTTCAGTAGCTCCTGGCCATCCAGATTCTCTACTGCATTCATGGAACACAGCTTACAGTGGTGTATCTTGGACTTGGAATCACCACCCCTTCAGTAGCTCCACTATTGGTGGTGGGCCCATCTGATGAGGCTCATCAGATGGGGTTACAGCTCAAAGAGCATGTTTTCTGGTGACCCAAGTAAACTGAAGAATATATGAATGCCTGAATTTTGTGGGCTAGAAAGAATCAAAGACCAAGTCATAAAACACAGTTTTCTTTTTATACAGCTTCTTTAAAGAGAAAGTTAAAGTTTTTGAAATACTTTAAATGTATTTTCTCTTCCACTCAAAAATAGAGGAAAAACCCCCAAGCACTCAAACGCAACAATAAAGAAAAAAAAAAAACACACCACAAAACTTAAGAGCCAGGTCAAAACATTTTGATGCAAGTTTTCTACCAGAAAATTGAGCTCCAACAAAACAAATGTTACAGAGAGAACTGTCAACTTGTCCAAAATCTCCAACAGAAAAGTCAAGGCTTTATCAAGATTTGGAAGGCTTCAGATTAACACTGACCTTGCTTGCTTAATCCTGACATACAATAAAGCATACTACAAATCCCTCCCTTCGTCTCCACATCCATCAAAGCCCCAGTGCCTCAGCCAAGTCCTTTCCACCTAACTTCAATGTCTCTATCAGTACCTGACAAATCTTGCTTCAGATTCCTCTAGGCCCATTCCAAAATTTCTAAGATAACCTTCCTGTCATTCAAGTATACTTCCCGCTTTAGGTTCAAACTCACCTTCACCTTCATTCCTGCCTCATTGCATTCCTCCTGCTCAAATGCAGAGGATTTACTCTATAAACGTCCTCTCAAATCCTTCAGCTACCTTTGTCAGTGCACTGTGTGTGTCCTAAATTTCTTATGCCACAAATATTCTACATGTCCATTATTCAGCCTGCACTACTTCAATACCTATTTCTTTCATAATGCTTTCCAGGTGATAGCCCCTAGTTCAAAAGCACCTGTTTTAAGTATCAAGATGGTCTCCTCCAAGGAAGTGAATGTTACTTTTGCAGTCAATGCATCATAAGTGAAGTGAACAGCTCTCCCAAAAAGGGCATTTGTCTTAAAGGTTTGTTCTATATTAGTCTTTTTTAAAAGTTGAATTTACTAATTGCTTACTTTCCTCATAAAATTTTGTAACAGCAATCTTGAAAACTCAGATTTTAGGAAATTAAGTTTAATATAGACAAATTTGACTGAGGTGATCAGCTGATAACTCTTGGATTGAGAAAACTGCTATCTCAAATGAGTCAAGATTCCCACTCTGTCTGTTAGCTTAACATACTTTGGTCCCCCACATTCGACTGCAGAAGCTTTCACAAATCGAACAGGTTGCAAGCCAACAGGTTCAATGCTCAGAGTGTTGTTTTCAACAGCTTCCAGAACAGCTGAGGCCAACTGCAAGAGAAATTTAGAAAGCAGTTAAAAACAGCTCTGCATTATCCATTGCCTCAAAGCAGTGACATATTTCTTCTTCTGTAAAGTTAGGAACACCAAAAAAAAAAAAAAATCAACTGACCAAACAGAAATTCAATTACAAATGAGATTTTGCTTTCATCGTGAACAAGAGGTCCCATTTCCAGGCTCCTGTTTAAATTCTGCAAATTATTCTCCAAATAACCCTGCCCTCCCTGAGGCAAGATAACTGCCTTTACAGTCAGGAATGTAGTCAAGCATGTTTAAAATGCTAACTGTATTTTCAGTCATTCCTCACAAGCCCAAATAGCACATCCATTTGTACCTGCAATGTTCTTCTCAGAGACTGGATATGGCAAAATTTTATTTTTAAAAATTGCTCTATTTTTATTGCGTCCTATGGAAACACAAAATGGTGCAGCATGCTTCCTTATCTTGCAAAAAACAAATATTATGTCACTGGTTTTCAGCCAAAGACAGCTTTAGAAAGGTGTTTAAACAAGTAACACTGAACAATATATAGAAAAGCCAATATAACATATAGAAAAGCCAGCTGCAACTTTCAAACACTAGTCTGGTTAAATGATCATCTTCAGGAAACAAAGTGCAACTTTCTTCAGGCTTTTTATGTTAATTCTTTATAAACACACAATCATAACACATTAGAAATACGCTTATTTTGCTTGATTGGACTCAACACGTGCCCAAGACTACTGTTTAAGAATGGACAAGTAATAGCCATTACTTGATTTAAAAGAAGGTGCAATTTATATTAGCGAAATACCTCTGTGCCAAGGTTCCTTCCTATTGAGTAATAAAGATATTTTTCTACTGTACTTTGAATATTTTAAAAACAGAATGTTACTATTAAAGTAGTTCATATGAAATACTCTTTCTCTGCCATGTCCCAAAAGCAAAACAAAACACCACACATACACAAGAGGCTACTGAGAGTTAATGCAGTTATCTGAATGACTGAAGTATTACATTTCCAATTATACAAAAGAGAATAGATGTATGGTTTATTGTTTGGTTTAACTGCACATTAGTATATTGATATTCAAGTGAAAACAAGTTGGTCACTGTGCACAGCATCTGGAAACAGTAACCGATATAACTGACAAGTGCTTGAAGCCTGATTCTCTCCTTAAGCAGAAATACAAATCTACAGTAATTATATCACCACTGAAGCAGAAAAACACAAAATGAACTTGCTGAGAAAGACAACAGGATGGCCTACTTACACATACTGCAGAAGCAATTTAATTCCCATAGTAACCAAGTAAACTTTTTAGTGGGAGAGGTTCATATGATGCTGTACACCAACCATAATGAACTGATACATAATTAACGAAAAGATCGCGCATGCTTACAGCCAGCAAGTAACAGTAGATGAAAAGCATAGGAAAAGAACATGAAAACAACAGATAAACATTATGAGAAAAACAAACATTTTCCATGCGAGTTGTTTAATTTTATTGGGGAAAAAATATATAAATTCTGAGGGCTTTAAAATTTGTTAATTTAATAAAGATCTAAGAATATGGCCCCTTTCTCCTAGAGACTGATACCACAACTACAGCCTGTAAATGTTGCTTAAGAGCAAAAACTAAGTAAAGCAGTTGGAATAAGTGGAATCAGCTCCACATTATTCCCAGGAGAGGTAAAACTCCAGTCTTTCCTCTGAATGGGAGAGTGTGCTGGAATAACACAAGGAAAAAAGTCTCACAATTCATTTCACCTAAAACCACATCCCCAAACTTCCCCTGTCGAATCACATCAAATCCCAAAGTCTAATTCTTGTTAACATAAACGTCTCCAAGAAAACACCCAGGCCGTGCTTGCAGCCTGCTCTGACTCATGAGAGAAAACTGTCCACAAAATTAAATATATTGGTCTCTGCTGCCCCCTATAGAAACAAGAGAGTGACAGGACGGTATTTCTACAAAACAGTATCTTTGAAATGTAGGAAAAAACCCACCATCCATTCCTACAAACATCAGATTCTGCCAGACAGGAGTAACATCTGAAGGAGTAGACCTAAAAAGACCATAGCTGGTCACACACGGCAAAGAAAAAAAAAAAAAAATCATCATTTCAATACTCCAGACTAAACTTCAGCACTTCACTGTAAACTGTCAACACTCTAATGAAACAAAAATGGTTACATTTCATACAAAAACATTTTTAATACAGATTATTGGATTCATGTAACATATTTAAGGGAAAAGGGTCAGTGACCACATTTAGACTATTTCCCTTACCTCACTTTTTGAGAAGGTTAGACATGGAAAAATATCTTCCCGATAAATTTTGTCCAAGAAAGGACATGTTCTGTCCATAGTAGGCTCATCCTTCCAAGATCTGAATTCATTGTACAAAGATAGGTCAGCCTAAAACACAAAGATTCACATATTTTAGTACTGCAATTATCATACTAGTGTCTATCATTTGCAAATATCCACAGGTAAACAACGAGCATTAAAACTAAATGTTTTCCATTGCACTGTGAAAGAATGCTATTGTGCCCCAGCTATGAACACCTTCTTAAATCCACTTTCCTAAGACTGCAAATATAAGCAAATCAAAACATATCATTTTAAAGACACAGACGTAATGCATTCACTGGTCACCGCAACACCAGGGACAAGCTAATTACCTCTCCCACATTTCCTAAGCTTCCTGGATAGCTTTGAAAAATGTAACCAATTGCTCAATAGAAAAAAATCCAAAAATTAATTTTCTTCTTGATGCATTTTCATTACAGTATTTTAGCCCATATCCATTTCTGTGAGTTATAGAAAAGCAGAGAAATCTAAAGAAAACTGCAATCCTAGACATGTTGAACGTGCGACCTGCATCTGAATATAACACACTGCTAAACAGTCATTTAACACACTAAATAATACTAACACAGGAAAACAGGAATTCAATATACAAATCAATTAAAACTATATACTTATCTTTAATTTTTCATCTTTATGCCCCAACTCTCTCCTACACCATGCTACAATAGGAAGGCAAAAATATTCAATGGGCATGATTTATGAGCCTACTCCCCCACAGCTCCTCTAGTCAATGGAGAAATACTAAAACAACCCATTAAATCACACCAGGAGTAAGCATGCTGTGTTAGGAAGAGTTGGTTTTACCCGCTTTGAAAACAACTTGCTTTGTCATCTCCATATTGAGATCAGTTTAGCAGTGGGAAAGCACCTACCCAGTCTGGCATTCAGGAGACTGGTACTAGGTTGCTATTAAAATCCACGTTTATGTTATGGGACAGCCTGTCCTGTGGGCTGGCTACCCACCAACAGCTCAAGCACACTGAGGTACTCCCAGACCACATCACCTGGTTTAGGGTTACTTGAGAAGATCCGGTTTGTGGGCACCAACACTCTTCAAGGCATGAACCAAGCAGAGTGCAGACAAGTGCTTCCAGTGCATACTCTTAATCCAGCGTAAAAGACTAATGCCAGTCCCCAATGGGATACGCAACACTATCTGCAGACTGGTTTTGACATTTGCCGATACAGACTTCGGCACCTCTCCCCTCCAACTGGTTGTTAAATCACTTTCTCGTACTATAGCAGACCTATACTCCTAAGACAAAAACCTATAGGAAGGGATGTACGCTGCAGGCCAAAGATAAGCCACAATGTGATTTTTAAATTTTTTAATATTAAAAACAAATAATATAATGACAAAGGAAAAATAACATGTTAAAAATTAAAATAATTGATTTTTACACTGCTTTGAACAAACCTCTTTCAATCTTTTGTTTTTTCCCCATGCATTACCCCTCCTCTGAGCTCCCAGCACTTCACCATTCTTTTACATATGCATTTTGGGGAGTTCTTTTGTCATTGGCAGGGGGGAGGTGTCTTGGGAAAAAAGCTGCAAAAGTTAGACTGGCAAATTTGTTTTCCATTAGAGCTACTTGCCTTACACTCAGGTACAATCAGGAACAACCATCTTAATTAACCTAGTCTATAAATGTTCTGGTTGCTAAGATGCCAACCTCATTGTACAACTGAAATTTAATAGGTGTAACTTGCTCCCTAAAGGAACACTTCCCATACCTTAAAACCTATCTCAGGTCTGGCTTTAAATTGAGGTATTTAAAAAGAGATAGCAGGAGGGAAAAAGCAGCCATTTTTCATCTGTACTATATGATTCTAAGAATCTAAGAGATGTGTTTCTTATTAATTCGGTTATTTTCTAGATTTAACTTAATTTTCCACAAACCTGCAATTTATAAAGAAGCTGCCTTGAAAAAACTGCTCAGTAAATATAGCTTGATGCTCTTCCTTTTCAGTCTGTGTGCTACATGTGTATCTCCTCCCTGACTTTACTTGGGCTTTCACTAGATCAAAGTTTTGATTACCTGCAATTAAATATACAGCCAATTGTAATAATAATTGCAGTTAAATTTTTTATGTTTTCATTTTACAGTAAAATACAACATCAGAGAAACATTTCAGTTCTTTGAACAACACTGATGCATTTATCAGCATTTATACTGAGTGGATGCTACCTGCCTGCCTAAGATGCAGGCAGCTATTCAGCTTGCCTAAATCCTGTTAATACCTGAATTAATTAGACGTGTCTACTTATCCCAGTGGTTACTCCCACATGCTAGGAAGTATTTCTCTGGGATGTTGGCATGTTTCTGGCTCCACTGTAATTTAGGGTAGACAGATAGCCACTCTTAACTCTGCCTACATTCAAAAAAAACCTGAGAGTTGACAAGTATTACACCCAGCTCCATCCAACATCTCAAAATGCAAAGCTCTGCGTGGTAGACTCTCTATAGGGGTCCAAAGCTATATTCCCCATGCCACAAGGCCACTACATACCCCTCAGCAAGGGTACTCTCAGTCTCCCTTTTGAAGCAGTCTCACTCAAAATCAGAAGAATGACATGCAAAGGGAAACCTAGCTCAGTAGCAAGAACATGTAGCAAGAAGGGGCAGAACTAGGGTTTTAGACCCAGCTCCCACAAATGCAAAAACCTTTGCCTTAGACCAACAATAAACAAAACCACAAAGCATTGGATAACAAAAGCAGTAGGGAAGGCATATCCCCTGTGCTTAAAACAATGTCCTAACCACCATGCCAGAGACAGTCTTGCTTTCTTCACCCCATGTTGCACTCCATTAACATATTCCTGCTCAGAAGCGAGATAGACTCAGTCCCAGAGGGTGGAAAATCCGTGTGTTTCTTACTGATTCCCTAGGCTGTCAGTGGAAGAGAGAGTCACCTGTTTTAAGAAGCCTCAACTAGCCTTGAAGTATCTCCTTATGCAGCCAACAGAAAGGAGACTGAATTAAAAAAAAAAAAAGTGTCAGGACCTTCTGCAGCATGTCCTTCACATTCACCACTTTCTCTCCACAAGAAATTGAGGCAGAACAGGTTTCTCCCCTCTCCCGCTCTTGCCCAACACTTAAAAAATTGAGTCATGACTCGAGTGTGATGCTTAGAAAGTAAGTGGATTCCATCCCAGCTTCCCCCTTTTGTTTGCATCTTTCTGAAGAGCAACAAGCATTCAATTTTAATAAGGAAAACATCCTGGATACCACTGAAAGTGGGCAGGCAGGATGTAAAGTTTTGGGGGGTTTTTTTGGGTTGGTTTTTTTTTTTTGGAAGTCCAAGTATGAGAAACAAACTGGAAAATGCCTTTATTTTCTAGATTTACAGTAAAATGGTGTATAGTATAAACGCACTTGACTACTGGCAAAACAAACTATAAAAATGGCCACTGTGTAAATCACATTAAAGATCCAGTTAGCTTGTTACCCCTCTGACAATGGCCAGCAGAGAGCTGGCCTGCAGTGCAGTACGAGAGGAAAGAGGGATGGGTCTTCCTTTTAC